TGAATGTTGCGTAAAGATGTTTTTGGAAAGTACAAAAACTTCCACCGACTTTAACTTGTGCCTCTACTTTTAACCGCCAACAATATTCCAAAGTTAGCCTTAAATGCAAATGACTGATAATGAATTTGGACTTGCTCTTAAATTATCTTATATTGATGCAAATGAATTGCAGTTGCATTAAACTAAACTCTGAAAAGCGTTGTCATATTACTATTTGCTTGGTGTAGATACTGTAAAAACTTGGGCAAAAACTGGGAAATTGAAAATTGCATTTTATGGTCGACGGTTAATTGTGCACCGTAGTTCATGTAACACGTTCAGGCGAATAGTCAATAAATTATGGTTATGTAAAATTATTTAAATACAGCCTACCTACTGATAAAAACATGAATGACTACCGTTGGTAGATGTATTACATCGCAAGTCCTTATTTAATCCCTATCTACATATATCACAGAAACAGTCAATTAAAATCCCGGGGTAAATCAGTGTCTAACTCAGTGCCAAAAATCCCGATTTCTGCGACGGGACCGCATTAGTTCCTTTTTCCTTACGTTCGGTCTCATACGTAAACGCTATATTTCTCAATTTACGTTGGATCTCTTTAATTTCACTAAGAGAGTGTTCACCCCCGACCCGATCTTCAGATTCACTGATTCGCCCCACCATGCGACGCCATTATGAAAAATAAGTCCCTGATAATGTTCGGTGACGTCACGGGTTTTCAGGAGTCGGCGCCACTCTAGGCCACTCCTACTGTGGACGATTTTCAGGGTTTTTCAGGATGCGGTCCCATGTTGGTTACACGTCGAGTATATCGCAGTTTGGGGCGCAAAATCTGACTTTGTACATCTGAATTTGCTATACGAAAAGTGGCAATATTCCCAAATAATAATTTGTATTTTGATATATTTTGTACTTCTAGCGACATAAATTTTGAATTAGTACTTTATTTATAATAACAGAACATGCCGAACACGATCTAAAAACAGTTTAAACAATGAACTGTGTTGAACTTATAAATCACACTTAGCTGTGTGTTGAAAAGGTTTTAGTTGTCTGGTTGTTTGCAGAACTACGCTCCAAGGTTTTTACGCACTTAGTATTTGTATTACGTTACAAATTTCGTTCGTCTTTATGCCCTTATGTTAATTTAATACCAATGGTCCAAAAATGCATCAGCTAATTATTAAAAATCAAATATAAATAACAGGCACACTTGAACTTTATTGTTGTTCAAACAGGTAAGAGCAGAACCAGGCTATGACGTGTTTGTTTTCTACTATTTGTTCCGATAATTATAAATCCTGTAACAGCGCGTTAAGGACAATAAACACCGACAAGTTCAATATTTAAATTGTTCATAAGTCGAAAGTAAACAAGCTAAGCTTATACGCTGATGGGCAAAATTAGCGCACCATCTATAAATTTGAAACAAAAAATACCATAAACCCTTTATCCTACATTCTGTAATCAAAACTCGAATTATTGTTTTTTAAATTAACACCCCAAAATATTATTGTGCAACTACGGAAAGCCAGTTGGAACACTTTCTTTATCCTGGTCTTCTACAAATAAAAGCAAAGCAATTTTTAAATATATTAAGCAACCGTGCTTTTTGCCCTTATTAGAAGGATTCCGACTTAAGAAGTTCAATAATGAATATGAAGGTTGTGGATCCATAATAAGGAAGATATCGTTCGCTGAAGATTGCAACCGCTCAAAAATCGTTCAAAATTGACAAAAAATGTTGATTATTTGGGAACTGGAAAGGCCGCGGTGTCTTTTAATCAGCTCGTTGCATTCTTTGTCTCTTTCCGATGAAAATGATGTATCACTCGAGGTATTTTGAGAAAGTTGAATTTTTTGGAAAAATCGACCTCTTACAAAAATCCAAAAATCAAAATTTCACATTCGTGTTTTTTGTCCTTATTGGATTATTTCCGACCTAAGAAGCTGCCGCATAGCGAATATAAAAGTTGTGGGTCGATAATAAGGAAGATATCGTCCGTTGAAGATTGCGACCGCTGAAAAACCGTTCAAAATAGACAGAAAATTTTGATTATTGGGAAACTGGAAAGGCCCCGGCATCTTTTAACTAGCTCGTTGCATTCCTTGGCTCTTTCCGATGAAAATGATGTATCAGTAGAGGTATTTTGAGAAAGTTATTTTTTTTGGAAAAATCGACCTCTTACAAAAATCCAAAAATCAAAATTTCACATTCGTGTTTTTTTGCCCTTATTGGATTGTTTCCGACCTAAGAATCTGCCGCATAGCGAATATAAAAGTCGTGGGTCGATAATAAGGAAGATATCGTCCGTTGAAGATTGCGATCGCTCAAAAACCGTTCAAAATAGACA